CTCCCCTGTGGCCAGCCAGGACAGCTCAACTCCCAGCCTTCAACATAGGCCATGAGCATAGAGATGTGTACGGGGGAATCACCAGCTGTGCCTCCTTGGTACATGAGGTGCAGAGAAGGCAATCGGCTCACCGGAGGTGGCCCAGCTGGAAGAGGCTGGACTGCACCTGGAACTCCATTGGGCTCTGAAGCCACAACCCAGCCTTCTGGCTTTCTGGGGTCCTGGCTCAGGGTCCGGCACCTGGCCTTCCGTTGTCCATGTCCTGCAGAAGTCCTCTCAACTGCAAGGGACAGACGTTCACCTACACAGTCCCAGTTCGCTTGCCCTTGCAATCCGTGGGTCTTCTCCCTGCCTCAATGCTCCAGGCAGGGGCCACGCTACCTCATTTACCTCTTGACTCCCACCCCTCCCCTCCACTCCAGCCCAGCATAGCTGCCTGGTGGGAGAGAGGCAGCTGGGTCGAATTCTCTGCTCTCTCTGCTCTCGCACTCCAGGACTAATGCAATTATGCAGGCAAAGCAGAAGCTGAGCTTCACAATGGCCTCCCACAGATGCAGTTTGGCCCACCAAGGCTTTCACTTGTTTTTAAGTTTGGTGTCAACATTTTAAAATAAGGAGGTTGCCAAAAACCAGTTTGGAAAAATGAATGGGCTGGCATCCATGAGCCTGAATTCTGCTGGTCAGCATTTGCAGGAGCTGGACCCCAACCCAGGGTGGAAGATGCTGGTTCTTGATGAAAGCCACCTGCCTGGCCCCTGGAGGCAGCCTGGGTTCAGACCACGAACTGTGATCACTACCTCCAAGGAGTGGGGTTACTGAAGACTTCGCCACCAGCAGGATGAATCCCTTTAAAGCTTGAGTCTTTACAAAGAGCCAGGGCTACTTTAGTCAATCAGAAAAAAGGACTGTACCCTGAAGGAAGACCTCAGGGCCTTTGCACATGCCACTCCCCTGCTGGAAAAGTTTCCCCCATCTTGTGACTCACACATCGCCCTCACAGATTTCCTCCCTGACCAGGTTGCTAAAATTGACGCTGCTAAAATTGTCCCGCCTCCCTTCACCTTGCTTTTTGGTCTTTGCGGCTCTTATTGCTCCCCGATATTGATCACATGTTGATGTAGCATGCCTGCCTCCCTAGAATGTGAGCTGTCTTCCCTGGATCTCACCCAGCGCAATCCTGTCCCCGGGGGACACTGGGCCGTCTGGGGACATCTGTAATTATCATACTGGGAGTGCTCCTGGCACCACGAGGGTGGGGTCCAGGGATGCTGCTCAATACCCATGTTCAGACAGCCCTCCACAGAGAATGACTTGGCATCCCAGTGTTGAGGGGAAGGCCCTGCTCAGGCAGCCAGCTTATTGGGCCCAAGGGGCTCAGCCGGTCACTCAAGGGAGAGGACCTGTCAACCGTGGTGACTGTGTACTTTTCTCAAAATGCAGCGCCTCAGCAGTGTCTCCCATGCACCCCAAAATCCAGGGCTCTGAACTGCCCACCTGCCACACCCGGTTCTCTCCTGCCAGGCGAGGCATGCAGCAATCACTTCAGCCCTCAGCCAGAACACCAAGGCCTGCCAGGTCAGCTGGTCTTGCCCAGGCAGTTGTGGAGGCCTGGAGAGTGGGAGGGACAGAGGGGTATCCCTGCTCCAATCCAATTTGGCCAAAGCACCCTGACAGCCCAGAGAAGAGTTCTAGGGTCTTCACAGAACCACTCACGCACCCTGCAGCAGCTCCTCGCTGCCCTTGGGAACCCCAGCCACTTCCCCACCCGCAGGTGGTTCTGGGAAGGTCTGATTGGCTGGTCACTGGCTCTGTCTTGAAGCTGGCAGACAGCTCAGAGAGGGCACAGGCTGGGCGGGTGGGGTGCATGCCCCTCTCTTCTCAGTAGGGCCAAGGGTCCCTATTGCTGGCCGGAGCCGGTGAAGGTATTGTGTGCTGGGAAACACCGTCCCGTTTGCTGCCTGCTTCTGCGGCCCTAACGATGCAGACAGGCCCGCGAACTGGTGCTCTCCCTTCCACGCCCCATGATAATAACTCCTCCACAAGAAACACAAACAGCAGACAACAGAAGCCCCGGCACGCTGTTATTATGGTTGATTTAATCCATGAGGTCTAGATGCTGCCTTCTAATTTTCTTCTCTTTTGTCTCCAGATCAAGCAGGGGAACCCAGTCGGCTCCATCCAGCTGTCGCCTGTGCTGTGAGCCCCTCTGCGGGGCAGACTGTGGAGGGCCTTGGCTGGTTCACTCTCTGGGGTGGGGCTGTACTGGGCACTGCAGGGTGTGGAGCAGATCCCTGGCCCCCCTGCTCAATGCCAGCAGCATCCATTTGTGATGACCAATGTGCCCAGACATGGCCCAGAGTCCCTGGGGGCAGAACCACCTGGTGTGAAAACCAGAGTTCACTAGGATCGCTGAGGAGGAATCTGCGAAGGGCCATGTGATGTCTCCTTGATGTCAAAAGTTGCAGAGGTGAAGCCTCTTGTGGCCAATGTCCTGTTCTGCAGTGAGTGCTGGCCCAGGGCCTCAGGTGATAACCGACCTGCAGTCTTATTCAAGCCAAAGCGCCTGTCACCACATGGCTGTGCTCCCTTGTCAGAGCTGGTGGGGGAGGAGCTGCTGAGCTGGCCTCAGAAGACCCTGGAAGGATTTGGCCGCCATTGGCAGGCAGACCTCGGGAATGAGTGGTTTCTTTAGCCTCTGCCGGATGGGCCGACCACTCATCCGACCCCACTGTGGAGATGTTCTGATCCTTCCCAAAGGGGGGAAAGCTGACCCAAACTGGCTGAGACCCCATCCCCCTGCAGCTGGTTGGCTCCTGGTGGCTCCTGGCATTGGATCCCAGGGCTGATCCTGCTCCTTTGCCCACTGTAGGCAGGCGGGGGAGCCTTCAGGAGCTAGTGTGGCAGGCCCTGTCCTTTCCTACAATCCCGCTCCCCAAACATCTCAGGGCCTCAGTGTCACCACGGGCCTAGAAGCACATTTGCTTGGACTGGTGGGACCCTAGGGAGAGGGGCATCTGGGAGCAGCCACGACACAGCAGGATAGGCACAGGCAAGCTGGGGGGACAAGGATGACAGGACCTGGAACAGTGATGCCAAGCTGAAGGATGGGCAGAGGACACTGGGGGCTTTCCCTCCTTGTTGGTGTGGCAATGCCCTTCCTGGGCCTGCTGGTCTGGAAGCCGGCTCAGAATAAGGGGAAACATGGTCTTAGAGGCTGCCCTTGGGGACATGGGAGCTGCTTGAAGGACAGGCTGTTTGGTGTCTCCAGGGCCACCCCAGGAAGCTGATGGCTGGCAAGAGGGCAGGGACCCTGCTGTGTGCACTTTTGGTGATGGGGTAAGGGACATGGAGCTGTGGGCCCCTGCCCTCATGTAGGGTTCCCACTGGATTCATGGGGACGGGGCCCCTGAGCATCCCTATTAGGGAGCATCCTCCCACCACACCTCCAAGTCAGGCCCTGATGCCTCTATCCTGTCCCCCGCCCGGTTCCATCCCCGCAGCTGAAGGCAGACTCCAGAATCTGGGGGCTCCATGGTGACCCACCCAGCTGGAACCTTCCAGTTCCTGGGTGAAGTGGGGCAGGTGGAGGCCACAGCATCAGGTTTAGGATGATGTTCCCACACCCACAGGGCCATTTTCCTGGCTTGAGGTCAGGACCAGGCCATGTGGGGTTAGGAGACGGGCCCCTGGTAAGTTTCAGATAGAAGTTCCTAGAAATGGGCCCAATACGCTGACAGCACCAGGGTAGGAGCCAATATAGTAAAAGTGGGGCGACGGGGAGGGAGAAGGGTCTGGAACACACGTCCCTGCTCTCCCAGACTCTCATAACAACAGAGGCAGCGGCCAGGGCTGTTGTGAAGGTCATGACTTCTTGCACCTTGTGCCTAGTGGGCTGAGCAGGTAGCAGCAGGCCAGCCCCTGGGGCGTCCACCTTTGCATAAGCAACAGTATGCTCCTGGAGTCCCCAACCTGGCGAGTGTGATGACCGGGCCTCATTGAGTCCAGGGCAACGGGAAGAGGGCCCTGTCCTTGTCGGGGAGCTTAAATGGCCCCCCTGCAGTTCTTCCTAGCGGTGGCGGGCACAGGAAGGAAATGTGAGATTTCGGAAAGGCGCACACCTTGGCCCTGGGCCTCCCAGCTGAGTCAGGAAGCGCGAAGGTGTAACCAGCAGGCCCTAACAGCCCGGGACAGAGCTGAGGAAGCTGAGGCTGGGCAGGAGACCTAGCCCAGGTCACCAGGCCCAAGCATCCCCCCACCACACCTCCAGGCCAGGCCAAGCAAATCCCCCAGGAAAGGCTCACCCCATCCCCACTCCCCAGGCGTGCCCCAGGTTGCCGGGACAACAATGGAGGCTAATGAGAAGTTGCCATAGCACCGGGTTTGTACCAGCCAGGCACTCGGCAGTTAGTGTCTGCTCTCTTGCACCACCTGGGACCGGCTTCCTCTGTGTCTGGTGAGGGGAACCGAGTCTTGGGCCCCTGCCCCACAGCCTGCAGAGTCCCTCTTGCTCCAGAGGCCCTGGACACACATGCGACTGGGAACCAACAGCCAAGCTGCTCCTGGCCCTGCCCGCACATCTCCAGCCCATGGGTCTGTTCCTTCAGGGAACCCACACACTCACCCTGGCCCGGCAGCCCCAACTCCCAGGAGGGCAACCTTCCCATGGGGAGGGGAGGGCCAGCACCAGAAGGCAGTGGAGACAGAAGTCCTGAGGCACCCAGGACCCTGCCTGTCCCTGTGGTGGCAAAGCTTTGGTGGCAGGAGGCACAGAGCTGCCCCATCTAACCACAGAATGGACACTCCATGTGATGGCCTCCTCTGTTAGCAACAGAGCCAGTTGGGGGCAGAGGACAGAGGCCTTGGAGCCTCCAACAGCTCCTGTCCTGGCCCACAGCTTGAGTGTGTGGGGTGGGAAGGATCCTGGCCTGACCCATGTGGATGCCCTGCCCTGCCTCCCGTGTGAGTTGCCGGATCCCCACGCCCAGGTTGACATGGCCACACAGCTTTGGCAAATACCTTTAAGAGAAGTATTTTACAATAGGGTTGCCCTGAGGCTTGGGGTGTAGAATCTAGGGTGCAGCTTGGTCTTGGGTAACCTCTCTGTGCGCAGGCAGTGGTTGGGGGGCCTGACCTCCCCAATGGGGGGAGAGAGAGCTGGGGAATGTAGCCTGTTTCCACCCAGGGGCTCCGAGAGCTCCAGCAGGATGGGGTGACCAAGATGGATAATGACAGCAATGGGACGTTCACCACTTGAGGAAGACCATGCCGGCCAGCACGGTGTAGCCCAGCACCAGGAAGAGGACTTTGAGCAGGCGGTCATTCTTCTCCTCCAGTTCCTTCCCCAGGATCTCAAAGAAGGTGACAAAGAGAAAGGTGCCACCCACCAGACCCTGCAGTAGCACCGAGGCCACACTGCTGGGCACGCCCTGGGCACTCTCGATGCCCAGGCCAACACTGATGCCCAGGGGGATCATGGCACTCACGGTGATGGCCAGCTTGGCCGCTTCCCTCAGGGGCATGGAGCTCCGGGCCATGTTGATGCCTAGGGCCACAGCTACCAGTGTCTCGTGGATGGCCACACCCACGAACAGGCTTACCACCTTCTCCCCCTCCTCCAGTAGACCCAGGGCCAGGCCCTCAAAGATGGAATGAGCCGACAGAGCGAAGACCAGGCTGAGGAGGCGCAGGGGGCTGGAGTGCGACAGCTCCTGGACATTCAGCCCGTGGCTGTGGGTGTGAGGCTCCATGTAGATTGCGTGGCCCCGCGCAGCCCCCATGAAGGGGCTCTCGTACTCTGAGTCGCTGCCAGCATCTGAGCCAGCATTGAAGGTCTCCAGGTCGATGAAGGACGGCTTCTCCTTGCGGAAGGTCAGGATGAGCTGCTCCAGGAAGACGGTCATGAAGAAGCCTAACATCACAATGGTCTCTGCCAGTGGGTAGTCAGTGGTGATGTGCCCAAGACTCAGAACTTTCTGGAGCTGGAGCGGAGGACGTGCAAGAGGGAAGGAGGGGGAGAGGTGAGAGAGGTTCAGAGGCAGGGACCCAATGCAACAGGGTTCATCTGACATCACTGTTCAATTAGCAAAGCACAGACATACCCAATTCATAGGAGAAGTTAAGTAAAGGGTGAGGGAGTGGTGGGCTCATCCTTGATGGATTAAACAAAAACCCGATTATTAAAGGAGTCATGAGGCCTCACCGGAGTGAGCCAAATTGTGGCCCCCAAAGACACATCTACCCAGAACCTCAGGATGTGGCCTTATTTGGAAGATGAGTCTTTGTAGATATATGTAAAGTACTAAGGGCTGAATTGTGTCCTCCCCCCAAATAAAAATTCATATATTCAAATCTCTAAGCCCCTAGTACCTCAAAACTAACCATATTAGGAGAGAGTCTCTTGAAAGAAGTGATTCAGTTAAAATGAGGCTGTTGGGTGGGCCCTACTCCAATAGAACTGGCGTCCTTCCAAGAAGAGGAAGAGACACCAGGACCACAGAGAGGCAGGAAAGGGAGGCCTGAGAAGGACCCAGCCCTGCCGACACCTTGATCTAGGACGTCTGGCCTCCACTACTGTGATATAAACCAGCCTTTCTGGCCCCAATACCCGCATGGGGTTTGCTTCCATATAATCCCGGTGGGACTCTGTCTCCAGGGTCTTCCCATTACTCCAACCTCCTGGGTAAAGGCTTGCCAGCACATTCAGACACCCATCAGATCCCTTGAGTCAGCACCGTTCAATAGAATGTTCTAGATATGCTTTCTATCTGTGCTAATATGGGAGCCACTAGCTATGTGTGAGGACTTGAAACATGGCTGGCACAGCTGAGGACTGACATACTGAATTGTACTTCACTGTACTTCACTGAAACTTGACTAGCCAGGCCTGCCAAGCAGCTGCCACACGGGACAATGCAGTTTTGGACACTGTCCAGCCAAGTGGGCTGTGGGCTGCTCGAAGCACGGGTTAATTTTCCCTGGATTTGTAAGGATGCTTGCAAACAGAGCTCTTTCCAGCCTTGGGGCTGTGCCATCGGTTCTGTCCAAAATGTTCCTCCTTCAGTTTTATTCACAGCTAATGGATGCTCATGCTTTGGGTCTTGGCTTACATATAATTTCCAAGTACTCTACCTAAACCAGGTACCCCAATCTCTGCTTACTGCCCCAATCTCTTCTTTCCCTCACAACCTTCATTACAACCTGTGATTGTACATGCGCATTCACACACACACACACACACACACTCACACACACACACTTCTCAACTGGGCTGATCCTGCTCTCAAGGGAGAAGCACAATATCTGGAGACATTTTGGTTGTCATAACTTGTTGGGGGAGGTGTTGACATTGGGGCAGGGTCATTCTCTGTGGGGGTCATCATGGGCACTGCGGGGTGTTAAGCAGCATCCTTGATGCCCATTCACTTGAAGCCAGGAGTACCTCCAGTCATGACACCCATAGATGTGCCTAGACATGGCCCCATATTCCTTGTGAGCAGAGTCACCCCTGGATGGGAACCACTGCTGCAGCAGAAGGCTATATTTCTGTAGAGAAGCCACTTCATTCATTTGCTAAATGTCTCATGGAGGCTTGCATGTGCCTCACTGGGGGAAACATGACAAACACAAACTACACCCAGAGGGATAAACATGGATTGGAAAAGACAAGACAGACACACAAAAGCCACAGCTTGCGGCACTGTCCTTCCTGTGGCACGACTGGGTGAGGGCTGGGAGGCATGACTGGGTGAGGCGTGGGAAGCCTGTGGGCAGGGATGCAGCACAGGAGTGGTTTCGGGAGGACCCTGGAAGAGCCAGGTGCACTGAAGGGGGATAGAGAAGAGTAAGACCATTGCTGCAGACCAGACGTGAAGTAGGAGGATGAAAGGGGGGTGACACAGTGGGAACACAAGAAATGGGGGCAATTCTGAAAGTGGTACTGAGGGTGCAGAAGCCGTCAGACGAGTCTCTGATTTAACCTCATCTATGCCAACTGTATGACTATCCTGTGCTGTGTAATGAAGGAACATAAGTTTAGCAGTATAAAGTAACACAAAAGTATCATCTCACAGATCTGAATGTCAGAAATCCAGGCACAGGTTGCAACTTGAGGATGAAGCAAGCAGCCATGTTGGGGAGGCCATGGGACAAGGGACTGAGGGCAGCTCTAAGCCAGACATCAGGAAGAAACTAGGCCCTGAGTCTGACAACCCACCTTCCAACTACATTAGCTTAGAAGTTGACCCATCCCTAGTTGAACCCTGAGATGAGACCACAACCCAGTACACACCTCGATTGTTGCCTCCTGAGAACCTGGAGCAGATGCCCCAGCTAAGCAGTGTCCCACCCTTGACCCACAGAAACTGTGAGATAATAAATGTGTGTTGTTTTAAGATGTTACATCCGTTATCATTTGTTCCGCAGCAGTAGCTGACTAATACAGGAGTTGAAGAGAGGCCACAACTGCCAGTTCCAGGACAAAGTGTATGCTCCCAGGGATAGATGATCTGGTGAAGTAACAACTAATGAGCCCACCGGTTGGGAGCCCCAGGTCTAGTTTAAACCCCTTGTTTGCCAGGGAAGGCTCAGAGAAGAAAAGCAACCACGCATGGTCACACAGCAAATTCATTTTCTACTTCCCATCACCCTCAGGTGTAAAGGCCCCCACCAAATTCAGGGTCAGAGCTGAGAAAAGCATCAGAGACCCTTGACATTTTATGGCTGAGACCATCCAGGGAGCTCTTACCTTTTCCCTCACAGCAGGCAGCAAAGCATTGAAGCAGGTGGCCAGAAAGACCCCGCCTCCAAAGGTGTTGCAGAGCGAGAGGATCTTTTTCGAGCGGTGGGCCTTCTCAAAGTCTGTCTCGATGATCTTCACAGGCAGCAGGGAACCCAGCAGCATAAAGAAGAACACGCCCACCATGCAAAGAATTTTGACCACTAACAGCTTCACCATGGTGACAGCCTGGGCTGCTATGGTTACCGCAGGGCCGAACCATGTGTGGATGCACACTCCGTCCCACGATGTGCTACCAGGGGCTCATGCCTCAGTCCAGTCACTGTAAACACCAGGGACAATCACATCAGCTATTGGACTATCTGACCAGATCTAGGGACCACGCCCATTCTGCCTTCCTCCCCCTCACACTTCACCCCACTCCAGGCCTGGTACATATCCCTGCCTCCTGCATAAACTTATCCATGGCTGCGATGTCCAGCACAGCAACCGTTGGCCACATGTGTCTATGTACGTTAAAATTAAATGAAATGGCCCTGACTGGTTTGGCTCAGTGGATAGAGCGTCGGCCTGCAGACTGAAAGGTCCCAGGTTCGATTCCGGTCAAGGGCATGTACCTTGGTTGCGGGCACATCCCCAGTGGGAGGTGTGCAGGAGGCAGCTGATCGATGTTTCTCTCTCATCGATGTTTCTAACTCTCTATCCTTCCTCTCTATAAAAAAATCAATAAAATATATATATTTTTTAAATTAAAGGAAATGTAAAATTCAGCCCCTCAGTTGAACTACCTGTATTTCAGGTGCTCAGTAACCATGCGAGTCTAACAGACACCATATTGGACAGCGCAGAGAATGTTTCCATTGTTGCAGAATGTTCTATCAGATGGTGTTCCATTGGTTCCCCACAGGCCTCACGGAAAATCCGAATGCTTTCCCCCGAGGTGAAGGCTCCAGGCCATCAGCTCCTGCTTCACCGCACTCACTCTGGCCTTTGTGGTCCCTAAAGGGGCCAAGTCCATTCTTGTCTAGGGCCTTGGCATGGGTTGTACCCTCAGGCTGGAACATTTCTCTCTGTGACCTTCCAATGACATCTTGTCTTTCTAGTCACTACTTCCAGGAGCCCAGAGAAGGGCCTCCCCTGGCCGACTTCCACCCTAAACTGTACCCCCCGTACCTACCCAGAGGCCTGGTGCACCACAGAGATTCAGTAACCGCTGGCTGAACAAATGGATGTGCTGAAGCATGTGGACTTCTTCACATGACTCCGTCAGCCAAGGTGGAGCAGTGTTCCCTCTGGACCTGAAAACGTCACCGTTAGTATGAGGGGCCTTGGCTGCTCCCCTGTCCTCACGTTTTTGCCCAACCTCCCAGTTCTCACTGCCCAAACCCCCACTGCGGTGAGCTCTTCAGGTCTCAGCTCAGATGCCACCAGTTGGAGGTCTCTCCCACCCGACTGCCTGACATTTTTCTGGCATTATATGTGCTACAGAGAACTACATCATTTAAGTCCTGGAACGTCCGCACTGGCCCTCGCCTGCGGCATCTGTGGGGACAGCGACTCTGTTTTCCCCAGCCCAAAGCCAGGTACACAGTAGGCGCCCAATAAATATCTGCTGGGAGTCCCTATGACCCAGTCTGTGGAGTGGGGGTGAGGGTGGCCTCGACGCTCTCAAAGCAAGGGCTGAGCGGAGAACGGGGCGACTCATTCATTTATTTAGCACTTACTGAGCGCCTTCTGTATGCCCCGCGAGGCACCAGGCGCCCCGCGGAGCACGAGGCTCACGTGGCCCCTCACCACCCGCAAATCACACACATCTCATCGATAAAGGTGAAACCTGGGCGGACGCCTTGTACGGGCCTGGGTTAACGGGCTGGACAGTTTCCGCCAGGCCCCGGCCCCGCCCCCGGACCGCGGCCCGCCCCGGCCCCGGCCCCGGCCCCGGCCCCGGCCCACACGTACCTCCGCAAGGCCCGCCCGCCAACGCCTCCCGCCGCTCAAATGTAGCGCGGTCTAGATCCTACAGTGGCGCCCAGGAGGAGGCCCGGGTCGGCGAGGCAGAGTCCACGCCCCGCCTACGCCCCTGCCTATTGGCCTTCCCAAGCACCACGGGCCTAGAAATCCCATTCATTGGCTTGTATGTCTGCCATTCATCCTGAGACTCCGCCTCTCCTACCAACGCGGAAAAATAGTTTCCTCTAAAGCGATAGGTACAGCCACCGGGCAGCTCCGGCGGGAAACTACAACCCCAATAGAACGGTTCCGGCAGGGTTTGGCTTCCAGAGCTGTCCAGGGGCACTTGGTGCTGAATCCCGCTCAGATTGAGCCTTGGCCATCTGCGGGACACGATTTCCTACAGGAGACTGTCCCTCCCTGAGCGTCCTCGCCGCTGATGCCCTTTTTGTAGGCATAAGAAGCAGATTTAGAGAACTCCTTCCCCCTTCCACGTGGGAGTCTGTGCTATGAGATTCTTTCCCCTTCCCCAGGTGGGAGCCTGCACTTGTTCTTCAATAAATTTCCACCTTTGCTAAAAGAAGAAGAAGAAGAAGAAAAGAAGAAAAGAAGAAGCAGAAGAAGAAGAAGAAGAAGAAGAAGAAGAAGAAGAAGAAGAAGAAGAAGAAGAAGATTTATTGGTCCAACATCTCCGCTATGTGCCAGGACCTTTTCTAGAAGAACATCTATGAACAAAATAAAGATCCCCCCTTTGGAGCTTACATTCTAGGAAAAGACAAGGAAAATGATGGATAAACAAAGTAAATGGGATTATATTAGAAGGTGAAAAATGCTCTAGAATAATAGAGCCCAGTAAGGGTGGTGGATTTCTATTTAAAATAAAATGCCATAAATAGATATTTGAGCAAAAACTTGAACATGGAGAAGTTAGTCAAGTGGATAATGGCGTTCCACATAGACATACACATACAGGCATGAGTGTACAAGAATGCCAGCGTGGCCAAAACACATCGAGGCGGGGAAGTGTATTTGGAGATAAAAAGGAGGCCTTGGGGGACCACTGTAGAGTTTTGATAAGAGATGTGACAGATCTGACATTTTTGTAGTTGTTAATCCTCACCCCAGGATATTTTTTCATTGATTTTTAGGGAGAGTGGAAGAGAGAGGGAAAGACAGAGAGAGAAACATCAATGTGAGAGAACACATCGATCGGTTGCCTCCTGCACAAGCCCTGACCAAGGCCCGGACTGGGGAGGAGCTTGCAACCAAGGTATGTGCCCTTGACCGGAATCTAACCTGGGACCCTTTGGTCCGCAGGCCAACGCTCTACCCACTGAGCCAAACTGGTAGGGCTGACATATTTATTTTTAAATAAATGTTTTATTGATTTTTTTAGAGAGAGAGAATCAGGGAGAGGGAGAAAGAAATAAGCAGCTGCCTCCTGCACGCCCATTACTGGGGATTGAGCCTGAAACCCGGGCATGTGCCCTTTCAGGAATCGAACCAGTAACCTCTCTGTGCATGGGACAAGACTCAGCCAAGTGAGTCACACCGGCCAGGACAGATCCAATATATTTTTTAAAATATATTTTTATTGATTTCAGATAGGAAGAGAGAGGGAGGGAGAGAGAGAGAGAGAGAGAGAGAGAGAGAGAGAGAGAAACATCAATGATGAGAGAGAATCATTGAATGGCTGCTCCTGCACACCCCCTACTGGGGATTGAGCCTGCACCCCAGACATTAAGCCTCCTTGTCCTCCCCCAGTCCCTAGCACCCAATATCTACTTTCTGTCTCTATGGGTCTGACTCCTTCTCATACAGTATTTGACCTTCTGTGTCTGATGAATTTCATTGAGCATAATTTCCTCAAGTTTCATCCATGTTGTAGCATTCTCCACCTTATTCTTAGTATCTCTCCCCATGGCTGGCTCAGGGTAAGCTGACAATAAGATTTTAGTTAACAAATGAATGCAATTATCTTTTTCATAAGTCTGGTAACCTTTATAGGGAAGTAAAGCAAGCTTTTTTTTCTCAGTGTTCCATTCTTTCCATCTAAAAAATATCAATAGTCAATTCACAGTCTTCATCTGACTTTACCTATTGGCAGCATTGACACAATAACCAAACGATTCTGTTAAAATATGTTGAATCTGCCTGGCCGGCATGGCTCAGTGGTTGGGCATCGACCTATGAACCAAGAGGTCATGGTTTGATTCCCGGTCAGGGCACATCCCCAGGTTGAGGGTTGGATCCCCGTAAGGGGCATGTAGGAGGCAGCCAATCAATGATTCTCTCTCATCATTGATGCTTCTATCTCTCTCTCCCTCTCCCTTCCTCTCTGAAATCAATAAAAATATATTTTAAAAATAATATATTTTTAAAACTATAAAAATAAAACAAACAGGTGAAGGTCATCATCCAATTTATGTTTTAAGGTTATTGTGACTTCTGTGTAAAGAAAGACTGAATTGTAGGGGAGCCAGAGTAGAAGCAGGGAGATCCATTAAAAATCACATGGGCAAGAATGGAAGCTAGTTTAGATGAAGACATTGTCAAGGTGGATGAATTTGAGAAATACTTGGAGGGTGAATTGACAGGACTTGGCACTGGTTTACCTGGGTGGGTTGCAGGGGCGAGGTGTCAGGGGTGACTGCTGGTGTTGTTCACTAAAATAGGAATGACTGGGAGAGAGAGGTACAGAGATTGGAGGTGTCAAAAGACAGTTCAGTTTTGCAGAAGTAAAGTATGAGATGGCTGTGAGTTTTTAATATTGAATGCCACTTTCTGCCTGCTTTATGATTAGCACGCAATAGGTGGTAGCCATTTTTATTATTAGACACAAAGTGCCTTGACTTTTTATTCTGGTTTCCATAGTTCACAACAACAAAAATAGTCACTTGTAATAATAGCGCACCAAGTAAATGCCCACAGGATGAATCCTTCCTATAGAAGAATTCAGGAGGTGCAATATTTATTTATGATTAGCTAGAGAATCGGGCTGCTCAGAGAAGGAGCTGCATAAGTGTTGGGTTTTTATTCATTCAAGACATATTTTTGAAAGAGTCCTAGGCTCCAAGACTTGTATATGGGCAGGTATGATAGAAAAACTACCAACAAATTTGACTGTGTGAGTATGTAAAATTTTTTCCATAGTGAAGGACACAATGAACAGGCTTAAGAGACAAGTGACAGCCCTGGCCAGGTAGCTCAGTTGGTTAGAGCATGGGAGTAATTTATATTTTTGTCAAATATATGTTACAAATGTCTTCACCCACTCAATGGCTCACGTTTGTTCTCACTTAAAAAAAAAACATATATATATATATATATATATATATATATATATATATGATTTCATTGCTTTTCTTTTTTTTTTTTAGAGAGAGAGAGAGGAAGGGAAAGGGAGAGATAGAGACATCAATAAGAGAAACACCATTGATTGGCTGTCTCCTGCACGCCCCCTACTGGGGATCGAGCCTGCAACCCAGGCATATATCCTGACAGGAAATCAAACCAGTGATCTCTTGGTGCATGGGATGATGCTCAATCCACTTTTTAAAAATTGAATTTATTGGGGTGACATTGCTTAATAAAATTATAGTTTCAGGTATACAATTCTACAATACATCATCTGTATATTGTATGTGTGTTTACCACCCCAAGTCAAGTCTCTTTCCATCACCATTTAGCCCCCCTTTACCTTATTCTACCTCCCCCAAGCTGCCTTTCCCTCACTTTTTAGTGCAATTCAATTTGTTGATTTCAGAGAGGAAGGGAGAGGGAGAGATAGAAACATCAATGAGAAAGAATCATTGATCGCTGTCTCCTGCATGCCCCCCACTGGGGATTGAGCCCATAACCTGGGCATGTGCCCTTGACCAGAATCGAACCCAGGACCCTTGAGTCTGCAGGCTGACGCTCTATCCACTGAGCCAAACCAGCTAGGGCCAATTGTTGAGTTTTTAAAAATGAGGTTAGAGCTTGTATTAGTCAGGGTCTCCAGAGAAACAGAATAAGGGAAATAGATAGATGATAGATTTACTTTAAGGACTTGGTTCATGTGGTCTTGGGGGCTGGCAAATCTGGTTTGGAGGACATACCGGCAGGCTGAAGCCCCAAGGAGGAGTTGATGTTGCAGCTCCAGTCTAGATGCAGAATTCTCTCTTCTTTGGAGAGAACCTCAATCTTTTCTCTTAAAGCCTTCAACTGATTAGATGCAGCCCACCTACATAATAGAGGCTAATCTGCTCTACTCAAAGTCGACTGATTTAAATGTTAATTTCATCTAAAACACACCTTTCTGGCAATATCTAGACTGGTTTTTGACCAAATATCTGGGTAATGTAACCTAGCCTACTAGACATATAAAATTAACCATCAGTGCTTTGTGTTGTCTTTAAGAAAGTTTGTCTATCCCAAATCATACATTATATTTTCTTCTACAATCTTTGTAGTTTTATCTTTCATAGATTCCATTTGTGTACATTTCAAAACCAGACAAAACTAACCTGCGGCATTGAACACTGGGGCAGGGTTGCCCTTTGGGGTGGTAATGACCGGAGGGGCCATGACAGGGGGCTGGTCAGGTTCTGTTCTTGGTCTGGGTGCTAATGACATGGGCATGTTCCCTTTGTGTAAATTCATCGAGCTGTTTGCTTATAATGTGTGCACTTTTACGTATGTTACTTTTTTAAATTTTGTTTTATTGCTTAAAGTATTACAAAGAGTATTACATATGTCTCCTTTTTTCCCCCGCCCTTGACATTCCCCCGGCCTCCCCTACCCCCCAGTGTCTTGTGTCCATTGGTTATGCTTATATGCATGCATACAAGTCCTTCGGTTGATCTCTTACCTGCCTCCCTCCCTCCAACCCTCTCCAGCCTTCCTGCTGTAGTTTGACAGTCTGTTCGATGCTGCCCTGCCTCTGTATCTATTTTTGTTCATCAGTTTATAATGGCCTTTATTATCCATAAATGAGTGAGGTCATGTGGTATTTTTCTTTCATTGACTGGCTTATTTCATTTAGCATAATGCTCTCCAGTTCCATCCATGCTGTTGCAAATGGTAAGAATTCCTTCTTTTTTACAGCAGCATAGTATTTCATCGTGTAGATGTACCACAG